ATCAGCTCATCAGGCTCCTCTGACTCCGCTTCCTCCTCCATGCCCTCTTCCTCCTCGCCCTCATCCTCCTCTTCTTCCTCCCCCTCTCGGGCTCCGTCGTCGGATCCGTCAACCTGCATTGCTTCGGCAGGTGCTGCCGCTGCTGCTGCTGCTGCTGCGGGCGGTGCTGCTGCTGCTGCTGCTGCTGCGGGGTGTCCAGCCGCTGCTGCTGCTAACAGTGCTGCGGGTGGCGGGCCGATCGGTGGCGTTGGCCCCCCCTGCGGGGGCGGCGGCTGCGCTGCTGTTTCGTTCTGCTGCTCCTGTCGGGGAACGACGAAGTAAGCTCACCCCCATGAGAGGGGCCTCTTCTTGCGTTTATTCGGTCCCCCCTCGTTTATCCCCTCAAACAGGGGCCCTCCCTTCTTGGCAGCGCGGGGCAGAGGGGGGGGGTGCGGTCCTGCAGCAGGCCGACCAAGACCGCCTCCCTGGTATCGCACCTCCGCTGCCAGTGCCTGGCAGGCGCAGAAAACTGACCAGGATAAACATTGAGAAAATCAAAACATCAAACCGACATAACTTCATTCCTCAATGTTTGAGGGTTCCCCCCTCCCCACCACTTGCACCCTTGCGTTGCCTGGCTCTGGCGACCTCGCTCTTGCCGCCCCTCCACCTCCTCCCGTTGCGGTCGCGGTCGCCGTGCTCGTGGAACCACTGGGTCGCGTGGTGTTCCTGGCACGCCTTGCCAACGCACACCGAGAAGAAGGTGTGTTTGCCGCACTGCCAACACTTCTTGCAGTTCGCCTTGCGAAGCCACAAGCGGTGGGACGAGCGGGTGTACCGCTTCCTGTGGTCCTGGAAGTCCAGCATGAATTCCTCCTCCGCCTCGCTGTCGTCGTCGTCGACCTCAAAGACAGGCGCGTGCCCGTCCTGCAGGGTGTCTCTGTAAATCAATCCCTTCAGGAAGGGTCACGGGTCTCTGTGAATGAATCCCCTCAGGAAGGGGAGGTTCTATCGATAAATCCCCTCTGGCAGGGGTCTCTGTAAACGGATCCCCTTCTCTGTAAACGGATCCCCTCAGGAAGGGGCGCCTTAACCACGTGTACCCCCAGCTCCTCGTGAGGCCGCTTGCCGCCGCCACCGCCTTCTGGAGGCAGCCCGCCGCCGCAGCCGCCCGACATCATCATGCCGGAAGCCTGGGGTCCAGAACGGTTGCGGCCGAAAGTTTTTAGTCAGACTCAAAAGGCTAAAATCTGGGGGCCTCGTGGGAGGCCCTTCGGGGGGGTGAATGCAATGGAATTTCATAGGAATTCGTCCAATTTTAGACCCCCCTTTTTTTGCTAAAAAAGGTGGGTCTAAAACTCGGCTGCTGGATTGATTTTTTATCGCCCAGATGGCCAAACAAGTGGCCGTCACTCTTACTTTTCTCCTCATCCTGCCCCAACTCCCCCCTTGCATTCTGCTTCCGCGCGGCCTGGAGCGCCGAGAGGCACACGATGAGCGCCCGCGTGGCCGCGAGCTCGGGGCGGGGGGCTGGCCCCCAAGCGCGCTGGGCGTCAGCTCTGTCGAACGGTTGCGGATGAAGAACATGAAAGCAAATGGGAGAGGGATGGAACGAGGAGGAAACGCAATGCCACACACATAATGAGTAAGCAGACTGCCGCACCTTTGATCCCCTCCCCGAGGGGCCCCCTCTCGGAGGGGGCCGTTGCCCTGTCTTATCGCGAGTGTGCTGAAGCCCCTCTTAAGGGGTTCCCCTCTTAAGGGGTTCCATCACTCGCCAATCCATCGCGCGGTCCCCTCGCGGAGGGGCGCCCCTGCGATGAGGGGGTGTCGTCTAGCACTGGAGAGGGCGCTCTGCCAACGGGTATGGCGATGGCAATGGCGATGAAGACGGTAAGGATGATGATGATGATGGATGCGATGATGAGGATGGATGCGATTAGTCGCCCAAGCGCTGTGCCACTAAGCGCTCAGCCTCCGCCTTAGCAGCTTCCTTGGTGTCAGCCACGGTGCCGTCGACCAAGGCCTTCTTCAGCTCTGCGCCGATCTCCCTGAGCGTGGCCTCGTCCAAGGTGTCCTTGTACTTTTTCCCGCCGAAACTCACAAACTGGTTCTTCTCACCGTGCGTCCGCTTCAACCCGATAGAGTGGTCCCTCTTGTAGTACATCACGCTGTACCCGCGGTCGGCGTGGCCAGCGGGGGGCCCAGCGCCGACCGAGGGCTCATCTGCAGCATCCACGGGCTCATCGGGTTCCAGCTGCTCTTCCTCCTCCCCCTCATCGTCCTGGTCCGTCTCCGTGTTCGCGGCGGCTGCACTGGGCTTTCTCATTGCAGGCTTCTTTGCCACTACATGTCCTGCTGGCTTCCCTTTTTTGCACGCTTTCGCCTTCGCCTGCGCGGCTGCCGCTCTTGCTGCCAGGAGGGCGTTGGGCTGCTCCGTCTTCTCCGTCCTGCCGTCGGGAAACACGGCATCCAAGAAACCATCGCCTCCTTTCGTCAGTGTTCCCCGCTCCTCCCTGTCTGCGAACTTCATCACCATGCACGTCGGCTCGGAGTTGAAATCGAAATACGTGGCCAGGGGATCCTGGGGCGGGTCTCTCACTTGCCCCTCCCGAGCTCCCTTCCCGAAGGGGTTCGGTTACGCCGTGAAAAATCAAAACTGCTCCCCTCCCCCCCCCACCCTGCCCGCCCCCTCCGATCCTCCTTCGGGGCCGCGGCGGGCGGGTCAGCGAGCTCGACGTCCTCCTGCGACGAGAACACCACCATCGGGCTCCACGTGGCAACCTTCTGTTTCTTCCCTGCCGGTTTCGGAGGCGGGCTGATGCCGAAGGCGTTCTTGATGACATTGCGCCTGCTGCCCCCATCTGCGCTGGACGACGCGGCGGCCGTGGAAGATTTTGGAGGGTTCATCTCTATGTCGGAGCTGCTGTCGGCGCGTTTTTTGCTCTCTCCTGTGCTTGGGCTTGCCCTGCCAGGCTGCAGCCCCATTGCCACCCCAAGCATTTTTGTGTGCGCCTCCAGCTTCCCCCCCGTCTTGGCGATGTAGAACTTGTTGCAAACATGGCTGAAAGCGTTGGCCACCTCCTGGCAGAAACGCCTACACTCTTCCTGGTGCATGTTCGGCTTCTGCTTCAACACGACGTCCTGGAGGTTCTTCCATTTGACGCGTGTGGTGAGCTGCGCAAGCGGCAAGAGAAACGGCATGTTGTTCTTCATGAAGTCATCTATGCCCCCTTGCAGTTGGCATTTTTCGATGAGATCAATGTGCTGTTTCACGAGCGGCTTCAACTGTTCCTCTGTCACAGAAGAAGCCCGTATCTTCACCTCCGTCTTGCCCTTGACCATTGCCCACCCCCAGTGCGCGCAAGCAAGAGTAGCGCTATGTGCCCTCGAGCCTTCGCAGCTGCGGGATGTTGTAACATGCGCGCAATGTGATGCAGCCGATACCCCTCGCTCAGGGGACGCATGCCCCCTCACTCAGGGGATCCTTAACAATGCGCGAGCGAAGAAAAGTACGACCTGGCCAAAAATCATGGGTTGGACTATAGTGCGACCCAAGGAAAGTGCCAGGTCGATCTATAGTTCGACCCCGCACTATAGATCGACCTTGGAGTCTCAAGGGTGGTCAGGGGCCAGCTGTCCGGCTCGTCCGGCGCGCCCGGCCTGGCCCCTCCTGGCGGGGCGTTGGCGCTCCGGCCCGCGCTCGGGCGCCCGCCCATTTCTGGCCCTGCCGCACCAAGAAGGCGCCGTCCCCGATCTGCTCGACCGAGCAGGCCCAGCCGGCACACCGCAGGATCTCGTGGAGATCCGCCGTCGTGCTCCCAGTGCCCTGCCGCGCGGGCTCCGCGGGCGCTGCCGGCGGGGCCGCCGCCGGGGGAGCCGCGGCTGGCGCGGCCAGAGCCGGCGCCGCTGCGGCCAGAGCCCGTGGAGCCGCGGCCGCCGTCCGCGCTGCTGCTGCTGGCGGTGGCCCGGCCGCTGTCCCGGCCGCGGCGGCCGGCGCGTCTGGTCCCGCCGCGTCGCTCTCTGCTTCCTCCTCGCTCGAGTAGGAGTAGCTCGAGGAGGGCTTCCCTCTGCTTGCGCCCCTTGCCTGGTCGGCCGCCGTCGCCGCCCAAGGCTTGGAAGGCGGCGGGCTGCCCGCGGGGCTCCGTGCCCGCGGGGCTCCGTGCCCGCCTCGGGGGGGGCGCCCGCTCCTCCTCCTCCCGGCGCCGCGGCTGGGCCTCCGGCTGGCGCGGGGGGCGCGGCGGGCTGCGGCATGCCCCGCCTCTCGGCGCCCGGCCGGGGTGGCGTCCAACCGTCGCTCTTCTTGCCGACCGGCTGCGCCGTCGGTCCTCGTGCCAGGGGGCCAGTCGCTCCTGCCCCGGGCGCAGCAGGCAGCGGCCTGGGCCTGGCGGGTCCGCGCGCGGGGGAGCTCGCCAGCTGCTCGCCGGGGCCTCCGCCGCCTTCGCCGCGTGCAGCCGCAGGCGCCTCCTCAACCCGCTGGGTGCACCGTTTGCCTTCTTCTGCTTCCGCCAAGCCGGGCCAGGCCGCGTGGGGCCCGGCCCACGCACCCGGCGCGGGGGCGAGGAGCGGCCCCGCGCCCGCGGCTCCTGCCAGCGGCACTGGGATGAGGCACCAGCCCCACCCCCAGGCCCAGCCCTCCGGGAGGCTGGGGAGGCCGCCCTGCTGCGCCGCCGCTGCGCCGGCGCCCGCCCCGCAGGGTCCGCCGTACATGGCCCGCCCCGGCCGCGCTGTCGCCCCATCCTCCGCCGCGCCACGCGCGGCCGAGGGCAGGGGGTGCGGCGCCGCCCAAGCCACTCAGGCCACCTCGAGCCGAGATGGCTTGAACCAAAATGGCTTGAGCCAAAATGGCTACGGAGCCCGCGCGCCCCCGCCAGTGTGGGACCAGCAGCCGGTCCAACGTCGCCGAGAGGGAGCCAACATTTTGTTTCGTCAGCGGAGAGACGGCGAAATCCGCTCCAGCGAATAGCTAGGTGGGGGCACGATCTGGCGAATTGGCCGGCGTGCAAGGAGGGAGGGGGGAGGCCGAGAGCAAGGAGGGACCTTCAGATGCCGAAGAATACGACGATGAGCAGCCGGCGGCGCAGGGCCAGGAGAAGTAGCAAGCATGCATCCTTTCAGATTGTGCATTTCCCATCTGGTTGATGGGCAAGGAGGGGGAGGGAGGGAGAAGAAGAGGGCGGAGGAGAGGCGAAGTTCATGGTATGTGTTGTGCTCGCAGCGTGCGTTGCCTTTACGCGTTGGTCATATCGGCGTTCATCGAACGAGGGTCTGTCAAAGTCATTCGTTTTCGTCTCCCTCTGCACTATCGCAATCCGTCCGAGCCTTTCCCCAACGAAGGTGGACGAGGCAGGGGGCGTTGAGGGATCGCTCCTCGTCCTGCTCCCTCCATCCTCGTCTCATCAAGGCTCGGGAGCCTTGAGACGGGGGTCAGTCAGTGCAAGCGGGAGTGAGCCAGATATCCAGATCTTGCAGGATTTTGCAAAGCAGGTTTGCGTTGACCTGGGCCACCGCGCAGAATTCTGCAGGATTTTTGCATGATCTTGCAGGATCCTGCAAGGCCTGACTGACCCAAGTTTGCATTGACCCCGGTCAGTGCGTCCCCTAAAGGCATCAGAGCCCCAGAAACCAGAACATTGAAGTCCAGAATTTTGCCAGCTCCAGCTGGAGAGGGCGAAGACTGGATCACCATTCCACCCACAGCTGCCGGGCGAACAATCTCCTGGTTCATCGAACCCCCCGCTTACGGGACTTCGAGGGCGCCAATGTTTGGGTTTCTCGGGGGCGCTAATATCCTGCGCATGTCTTGGGAGCGCCAATGTCAATATTTTGCCTCAGTTTACGGGTCTCTGAAGGTGATCGGTGGTTATTCATTGTTTTGCCGATCCGCGTGGGCCCTCGCACCCCCCCGTCCCCCCCACCATGGAGTAGATATTGGTCGTTCTTGGCGCCTGTTTCGAGCAGGTGGAGTCCACCCCCCCCGCAGGACGCATAGTTCCAAGCAGTCGCACCAAGCAGAGGTCCGGAGCAAGACCCCCGCCCTCCCCTCCCCCTGCCGCCCAATGTCGAAACTCGGAGATTGATAAACCTCCTACCCTGACACGTGGATTAGCGAATCGGCCGTTTTCGGTTCGCGAGAAGGCGTTGCGGTCGTCAATTTTGCGGTTCCAGGTCCATCGGTTTCGGCCTTGGGCTTTTTTCACTAAAGGGAGGGTTACTAAAGAAGGGAGGTTTGTCCCCCGCCGAGCAACGCCGAATAAGCAAACGCTCACAAGGCGTTGGAATCCCCCGACCCCGTTGGCGTGGGCCTGCTCTCGGAGCGCCGCTGGATGGTCTCGGGCTGCTCCGGGGCCAGAGTGCTGCGCGTGTCCAGCATTAAGTCGGGCCTGTCCCCCTACACGGAAATTTTCGACGAAAAATAAAAAGTACCCCAAAAGCACCCCAAAAAGGTAAAAAAATACTCAAAATTAGTCCCCAGACTATGTTTGGATTATGTTTCGATTCTTTTGGGGGTATTTTTCATTTTTCGTCGAAAATCCTCTTGACGGGGGACAGGCCCGACTTAAGTCCAGCACCATAGCGCGGCACCCGCGGGTCGCGAGCTCCGCCGATCAGCGCTCGCACGTCAGTCACCAAGCGCGGAAGACCGCACAATGTCCGAGGCGGGAATTTCTACACGACCACCGCCTGAAGGGTCAGTTTTCGGAGCGTCGGCGGGCGGTGGACGTGGACATATTCGGGCTCCCGGGGGTCGAAATATATATATATATATATATACATACATATCCACCGCCCGCTGGGGCACCAGGACGTCGGTTCCCAGGCAGTAGATATGGATACATCCCCGCCTCGCACACTTTGTCTGACCGAAATTCCGCGGGCGGGGGCCAAAGGAATTGAGAAACCGACTGCCGTGAAGTCTGTGCACCTTGTGAATGGAAGGGGCGGCCAGGGCGGCGCGAAGCCAAACGAGGGTGGGCCTTGGAAATCGATTCTTCATGGTATTGTGGAGGGTGTGGAAGAGGAAGAAGAAGAAGAAGAAGAAAACAAAACAGAGGAGGAATAAGAGGAGGAGGGGGAGGGTGGAGGAGGAGGAGGAGGAGGAGGAGGAGGAGGAGGAGAATGAGGAGGAGGAGGGGGAGGAGGAGGAGGATGAAGAGGGAGGAGAAGGAGCAGGGAGGAGAGGAGGGATGAGAGAGGAGGGAGGCAATCTATGTGCGCTCGCGTCATATCTGACGTCCTGCCCCTCCCTGCCATCCCTTACCAGTGCGTAGAGCCTCTCTACTCGCAGAGTCCGATGTCGGAGAGGACAACAGTACCCAAAAGGTATGCCATGCATAGCATGGTATAGCAGCACAGCATTGTGTAGTCGATCGTGTAATCTCATCGCATTGCAGCGCAAGGCACGGCATCACAAACCAGTTCATAACATTAGCATTGCACAGTATGCCATTGCATAACATCGAATTGCATACCATTATTTCGCGAACGGTGCAGCCAGAAACCCATGCTGGAAGACGGACCATTTCAAGATGACACTATTGTTCAGCGGGAGCACAAGTCGGAAGGACCGTACAGCACGGAAATGAAGCCAGTGCTGCAGCGGGAACACCATTCGGAAGAACCGAAAACGCGGAAATGTGACCAGCGTTGCAGCGGGGGCACCATTCGGAAGGACCGCAAATGTTGAAAGGATTCAAGCGTTGCAGCGGGAACACCATTTTATTGGTTTGAAGTGCCGAAAACAATCAGATTGGATTCAAAGCCGTAGAAATCGGAGGTGAGTGGGTGAGATCGAAGTGGAACGGAGAGCCCCCCTACCGGGAAATCGATTTCGGTTTCGTGTTCGTGCGTGCCGTGCGGGCGAGGCGAAGCTGCGTGGGCGGGCGAGAGGAAAGTCTCCTGTGGCTGAGGCGCGGCCGGACCAAACGTCTCCCTTCCGGGCGGCCGGGGGCCCGCGGTGTCCCGCCGGTGTCCCGCTGGTGTCCCGTGTGGCAGAGGCGCGGCCGGACCAAATGTCTCCCTTCCGGGCGGCCGGGGGCCCGCGGTGTCCCGCCAGTGTCCCGTCGGTGTCCCGATTATGGTGATGTTGTTGATGATGATGATGATGATGATGATGATGATGATGATGATGATGATGATGATGATGATGGAGATGATGGAGATGATGATGACGATGTTGATGTTTTGTTTTGATGATCGATAGTGAGATCGGTAGTGATATCGATTGTGAGATCGAACGTGAGATCGAATGTCAGATCGCTTGTGAGATCGATTGTGAGATCGATTGTGAGACTGAATGTGAGATCGATAATCAGATCGATAGTGAGATCGATTGTGGTACCGAATGGGATATCGATTGTGAGATCGATTGTGATATCGATAGTGAGATCGATAGTGAGACCGAATGTGAGATCGATTGTGGAATCTATTGTGAGATCGATAGTCAGATCGATTGTGAGATCGATCGATTGAGTTAGTAGTGAGATCACTATCGGTAATGAGATCGATAGTGATTTCGATAGTGAGATCGATGATGTGACCGAATGTGGGATCGGTTGTGAGTTCGGTTGTGATATCGATAGCGAGATCGATAGTGAGATCGATAGTGAGATCGAAAGTGAGTTCGATAGAGAGATCGATAGTGAGGCCGAATGCGAGATCGATTGTGATATCGATGGTGAGATCGATAGTGAGACCGAATGTGAGATCGATAATGAGATCGATAGTGAGTTTGATCGTGAGATCGATAGTCAGATCGAATGCGAGATCGATTGTGATATCGATTGCGAGATCAATAGCGAGACCGAATTTGAGATCGATTGTGGGATCGATTGTGAGATTGATTGTGAGATCGATAGTCAGATCGATTGTGAGATCTATCGATTGAGATCGAATGTGAGATCGGTAGTGAGTTCGATAGTGAGATCGATCGAGTGCGACGTTGGTCCCTCCCCCCCCCTCACCTACTTATCACCCGAAGGGTGGTCTATGCGGTACTAATTTCCCACAACCCTGTGTGAAAACAAAATCGCGGAGAGCGCGGGACATTTTCCTGACAGAGTCACGGGAGAGTCTTGTAGTCCTCATAATGTGTAAGTGTAGAGTGTAGCGTGGAGGAGGAGGGACAACGAGAAGGAGGAGGGAGATGGGAGGAGAGAGGAGGGAGGAGGAGGAGGAGGAGGAGGAGGGAGATGGGAGGAGAGAGGAGGGAGGAGGAGGAGGCGGAGGAGGAGGAGGCGGAGGAGGAGGAGGAGGCGGAGGAGGAAGAGGTGGAGGAAGAGGTGGAGGAAGAGGTGGAGGAAGAGGAGGAGGAGGAGGAGGAGGAGGAGGAGGAGGATGTGGAGGATCGGGCAGCAGGGTCGGAGAGGGGGGTAACCCCCCGTTGGCCGTTCCGCTCTCCTGCGCGCCCCCAAGGACGGAGCCGCGGCCTGCAGCAGCGGTGCGCCTCGCCCTTTTCAGGGGTCTCGAGGAGGTCAAGAATTTGTAGTTTTGTTAGTACAGAGAGCGCTGCGCAGCGCTGCGTCGCATGCAGCGGAGTGGATCGAAGAAGGAGACGACTGCATGAGCAACAATGTTCGAAGGTCCGCGCGGATCTCTTGGATCGGCGCTGGACCGCCCTGGCGGCGCTTCGCGGCCCCCGGCGCGCTTCGCGCGCCAGGGAGGGGGGCCCGGCGCCGATCCGAGAAATCCACGCGGACCTCCGAACGCGTTTGTTTACGCAGATGTTTCGTCTTCCGGTGGAGCCGACCCCGGCCATGGGTCGGCTCAACTCGGGCGCCGGGCATTTCTCAGCTCGGCGGCGGCACCGAATTCAAGTCCAGTGTCGGGGCGGGCCATCCGTGCTGGAGCGTGCGAGGCGGGTCGACGTGGTCGCGCAGCCTGCCAAAGCCTTGTAACCCTCAAGTCCCGGGAGGCGCCCCTCGGCTTATGATGTTCCAACCTGCCCTAAACTTGACCACCAGAAAGAATTTCGAGCACCCAACAAGCACCGAAACTCGAGGGTTTTCACGTGTCGGGCCCTGGGAGACACTCGTCCGACGCTGTTTCGACACTCTTTCGACATTCTTCCGGGTGTTCGAACTTATTTCTTGGATGTGGCCCTTAAGCACGATGGGAGCAACACAACCCTGGGGAAGGTTTGGGAGGTCTTCGACCTGAGTTGAGATCCATGGGGCTGGCACGACTACTGTTGACTTATTCGCTTGCTCCCAGCATGCGATGCTTGCCTCTGGCCAAACGAGAATTTACAATATTCAAGAGGGCGTGCGCCAGTCCACCGACCTCCAGAAGAGGAAATGTGCGTCTTCCGAGTTCGTCTGTGCTAGTCGCCGCTTCCCGTCGTGCTCCCTGCGCGTAGTCGTTTGCTGATGTGTCCTCCTCGTCCTTCTCATCGGCTGCGAGCCTTCCTGGGAGCCTGGCAGAGGCCCCGCGGGCGGCCGACGTCGTTGGAGCCCTTTTCTGGGCTCCTGGAGGCTTTTTACGCCCTCCGAGGGCTTCATGTGGGCCCCTTGGGGGCACGTTTGGGTTCCTCGGGGCCACCCTGTGGGGGAGGGCTCCCGGGACCCCTGTGAGTTCTCCCTCTCGTGCCTTTCAGTGGGCCCTCTCGAAGGCCTTTTCGGCTATCTTAGGGACCTCTCGGGCCATCTTGGGGACGCCTCAGGTCCTACTTGGGGATTTTTGGAGGCATGCTGCGGAACTTGGGGGCCATCTTGCGGGGGAGGGTTCATGGAGCCTCTTCGAGCTTCCTTTCTGGGGTCTTTTGGGCATTTTGAGGGGCGGTGTTGGGGTCCTCTTGTGCCGTCTTGGGGCCGTATTTGCTCGATCTGGAAAGCCTCTCGGGGCCGTCTTGGGCTTTCAGAACCCCGACATGGCGAGATGAGAATGTGACAATCTTGGGAAACCGAAAATCATCAATGTTTGCCTCTTGCAGCTTTTCTTGGGGGTTCAGTTGGAGCAGTCTTACAACGTTGTTGGTGCCTCGTAGGCCGTCTGGAGTGTGTTTGGGATATTCTGACTCCCTGGCCCTGGCGTGTGGGGGCCTTACTTGAACCATTTGAGATGGAATATCGGGCGTCTTCGGGGCCGCCGAGGGTGCCTCTGAAGGCTCAGAGAGCCCGGGAGGTGCCTTGGCGAGCCCGCCCCGCCCCCCCCCACCCCTCCTGGGGGGAGGGGGCCTTGAATTGTATCTTGGGCCATTGTGCGAGGGGGAAGTGGGAGAGGGGGAGCACCCAAGTGTCTCACACGCCGTGCCACCCCCGGCAAGCGGGGGTCGGCGGATTCCATGCACCGCACGGCAGTAAGCTGCGGCCATTCGATTTTGTCTGCGCCCTCTGCGGCGCACTCTTCTGCCCACTCCTACGCCGCCCCCTCCGCCCCCCGGCCTCTCGCAGTCCTGCCTTCATCTTGAGTTGGTCTGGTGGCTGCCTTGTCTGCAGTTTCTCCCTCCACGCGCTCCATCGGTCCATCCTCCTCGCCGCCCTTCCTCCGTTCTGAGCTGGTCTGGTGGCTGCCATGTCTGCGCATGCTCCTACCATGCGCCCCTGGACGGGGCCGTATCAGTTGGGGTCGGAGGACCCCGCCGCACCGCCGATGCACAGGCCATGCCGTGCGATCTTCTCCACCCCGACGGCGCCGACGCATCGGCGATGCGGTGCTATCTTTCGACGACAGTCGCCTTGGCCCCGTTTGGGAGGCGTCCAGTCCGGGGAGGCCCACAGCACCCCGTGAGCAGACGTGCCCTGGAGAGGAGCTCTCGTGGCCCATCCCGGATCGCTCCGGGGCACAGCTCCTGGCGCATGCCGTGGCCAGAACCGCGGCCCTCGCGACACCTTCCTTCATGGGCAGGTTTTCCACCACCACCACCGTAAGTTCGAGGGGGAAGGAGGAGGAGGAGGACGAAGAGGAGAAGGAGGAGGAGGAGGAGGTGGAGGCGGAGGAGGAGGCGGCGGAGGAACCCCTCCCCTTCCAACTTATGGTGGTAGTGGTGGAAAACAGGCCCAGCATCCCTGGGGGTCTCGTTGCCCGGGAAGGCTGGCCTTCCCGATCCATGGGCGCCTCTCCGGACGCCGCGCCATTCGACCTCCCAGCCTCCCCGTGCGGCACGCTACTGTCAGGAGGGGGGAAAAACACAGACACAATTAATCGTCGGCTACCAGGAAAATGTTGGAAAACATGGGAAGTGGGGGGAAGACAAGAACCCAGAAAATATAGGTAAATATGGGGAATCCTATTTTTGTGTGTATTTATGTGCGTGTCCCAGGGCCCCTTCATACTGGGGGTAAGCATTCGCGCCGCCCTGGGGGGCCGTCTGGGCCTCCCCGATGCACCGGCGTCTTCCGAGCCGCGCCCCAGCCGCCCTCCCAGCCGCGACCGTTCGACGCCACCTGCGCTGGCGCACCGGCCATGCTTAAGTCGGGCGTGTCCCTTTACAGGGGGATTTTGGGCGAAAAATTAAAAAAAAAAAAAAAAAAAAAAAAAAAAAAAAAAAAACACTAAAAATATTCCCAAAATGCTAGGAAAAAAAAAATAGTCCCCAGACTATTGTTTTGAATTTGTTTGACTATTTGGGAGTATTTTTTTAGTTTTTTTTGTTTTTCGTCGAAAATCCCTCTGTAGGGGGACACGCCTGACTGAAGGCCAGGCGGCGTCCACCCAGCTCTCCAACGTCTTGGGCAGATCAAGACGAAAGCATCTTGCCAGGTTCGGCTGGGGGCCGCGGCAGGCTCTGGGCCCCAGGACGTGTGAGAAAACTACCCGGCATGCGAGGGACCCTGCATGTAATTATTCAAGAAGCCAAGACATCGGAGGTCTGGGCGCTAGCGACAATCGTTGCCCTGGAAGGTCCTGGGGGGGGGGGCCGTGTGGAGCTTCCTGTTCCACTGGCGTCTTCTGAACCGCGCCCCATCCGCCCTCCTGGTCGCTACCGTTCAATGCCACCTGCTTTGGCCCCCGTCGGGAGGCGCCGACTGGCGCCCTCCCAGCCAGCTCTCCCAGGCTGGCAGCCAGCCAGCCGCTGCGCCCCGGCTGCTGATGTGCGATCGGCGCTCGATCCATGCCCGTGCTGCTACCCCCCATCCTGGGCGCCAGGGGGAGCACGGCATGGATGAGAAGCGTGGCCTCGGACGCCCAGTACGTGTCCATATCCCCGCTCTGACTCCTCGTGGGGTCGGGGCACGAGCAGGGGCATGGATGAAGTGGCGATCGCCTGTAAGCCCCTCAACCCTCGACCTGCACCCTCCGCACCCTCCGCGCGGAAGGGGCCGCGCTGCCGCGGCAGCCGCCGCGGCCGCATCGCGGCGGCACCTTCCGCGCGGAGCGTGCAGGAGTTGCAGGTCGAGGGACGCCCCCCTCCTTCGCCCCAGCCCCGCGTTCCGAGGCGGGAATTTATACATGACCACCGCCCGGAGGGTCCGTCTTCGGAGCCTCGGCAGGCGGTGGATATGGACATGCTCGGGCCCCCGGGGGCCGAAATGTGTCCAGATCCGCCGCCTGCTGGGGAACCTGGACGTCGGTTCCCAAGAGGTGGATGTGGATAAAATCCCCGCCGCGCACGCGTCGCCCCGTCCACCCTCCTCCTGCTCCTCCTCCTCCTGCTCCTCCTCCTCTTTCCCCCCCCCCCCTACCCCCCCCTTCCCCCTCCTCCTCCTCCTCCTGCTCCTCCTCCCTGCTACTTCCTCCTCCTCCTCCTCTGCTCCTACCTCCTCCCAGCTCCTCTCTCCTCCTCCCCTCCTCCTGCTACTGAACCTCCTCCTGCTACTCCTCCTCCTCTCCTCCTCCTCCTCCTGCTACTCCTCCTCCTCCTCCTGCTCCTCCTCCCTTCCTCCCCTGCTAACTATTCCTCCTCCTGTTCCCCCTCTCCTCCTCTCCTCCTCCTCCTCCTCCTCCTCCTCCTCGCTCCTCCTCCCCTCCTCTCCTTCTCTCCTCCTCTCTCTGGGTCAACTGGGAGGGCCTCCCGCGGCGCGCGCGCGCGCCTCTCCCGCGGGCGGCCGCCCCTCGGCGGCCCGGCGGCGCCGGGTGTGCTGGCGGGCGGCCGCGGACCTCCTCGCCAACGCGGGCACGCAGCACGCGGAACAAAAGCGCCCCGCCGCGCGCCCGTGCTCACCAGCGGAGGAGGAGGAGGAGGAGGAGGAGGAGGAGGAGGAGGAGGCGGAGGAGGCGGAGGAGACGGAGGAGGGGGGGGGATCCCTGCGCCGCACCGCCCCCAGGACCGGGGCGGTCGTCCTCTTCCTCCTCCTCCTCCTCCTCCTCCTCATTGTTCTTTCCTCCTCCTGTTTCCTCCCCTCCACTCTGTTCCTCCTCCTCCTCCTCCGCCTCCTCCTCCTCCTCCTGTATCTTCCTCCCCTCCTCCTTCCTCCTCCTCCTCCTCCACCGCCTCCTCCTCCTCCTCCTCCCCCACGTCCCCCTCCTCCTCCGCCTCCGCCTGCTGCTCCCCCCCACCTCTCGGGTCGGACGGAAGGGGGGATGGGGATAGATTGGGTTGCGAGATGTGCTGCGCTCAGCTGGTTGCGGCCCCGCCGTTGGCCGATATCCTCGATGCATGGGTGCCTCCAGCGCCAGGAGGCGCCGTCAGCGTCGTCGTGGTGCATGGTGCGGGTTGCTCTGGTCGTGGCTTGTGCACCTTCTTCTGCAGTGACCACTGCCCGTCCTTCCGCTCGAGTTCGCTCTCCTGGCTCTCCTATCCTCTGGTCGTCTCGCGGGGGGAGTCGTTGGGACCTTTCGGGGCATCTCGGGGACACCTTGGAGCTTTTCGGGGTTATTGGGCCGTCCTGAGCTGGTCTCGGGGCATCTTGACGGCCTGCGGGAGCGCTCTCCGGCCGTCCTGAAGCAACTTGGCGGCCGAAGAGGACGCCGTAAAGTAAAACGGAGGGGGGAGTTTTGAACGGCGCGCGGCCCAAATGGGGGAGTCATTCTCCTCCTCCTCCTCCCTCTCCTCCTCCTCCTCCTCCTCCTCCTCCTCCTCCTCCTCCTCCTCCGCCTGCGCCTCCGCCTCCGCCTCCGCCTCCGCCTCCGCCTCCGCCTCCTCTCTTCCTCTCACTGCGCGTTTCCATGCCGCGTCATTGCCTCCACATTGCACGCGCTCGTGGGTGCTCCAGGTGTTTTTTTTCCGTGCATGGCCTCGCGTGGGCCGCCCTGCCGCGCCGGAAGCTCTTCAGAGCATGCTGCGCGCCTCCGTCTCGCGTGCTGATTCGTCTGTCTCCTCCCTCCGCCCCCTCAAAACCCTTGGCATCGCTCGGACGTGTGCATTTGTCCTTCGGCGAGGACCGTCGAGGAGCATCCTTGATCGTTTGGCGAAAAAATCAGGCACGAAACCGAAAAAACATGCTGAATGGACGTCCGAGCGATGGCGAGAACCGCCCTCCGCACCGCTCCCGCGGGCACCCGCGGGGTGGCTCGGGGGGTGGAGGGCGGCCCCTGCTCGGGCAGGCAGGCGGCCGCGAGCTGAGGCTCCGGGTCGGGCAGGCGCGGCGGGGGGACGTGCCGTGCGTCGCGGTCCGTCGGGGGTGGACGGACCTCCCACCTCCTCCTACCTCCTACCTCCTCCTCCTCCTCCTCCTCCTCCTCCTCCTCCTCCTCCTCCTCCTACCTCCTCCCCTCCCCTCCTCCTCCTCCTCCATCCTCTCTCTCCTCCTCCTCCTCCATCCTCACCCTACCAATCCTCCTCCTCCTCCTCCTCCTCCTCCTCCTCCTCCCCTCCTCCTCCTCCTCCTCCTCCTCCTCCTCCTCCTCCTCCTCCTCCTCCTCCTCCTCCTCCTCCCTCCTCCTCCTCCTCCTCCTCCTCCTCCTCCTCCTCACCTCCCCCTCCTCCTCCTACCTCCTCACATCCTAACCATTCCTCCTCCTCCTCCTCCTCCTCCTCCTCCTCCTCCTACTCCTACTCCTACTCCTACTCCTACTCCTACCTCTTCACTCCTACCTCCTCCTCCTCCTTCTCCTCCTCCTCCTCCTCCTCCTTCGGAGGTGGACGGACCTCCTACCCTGACACGTCGATTCAGGAATTGGCCGTTCTCGGCTCGCGAGAGGGCGTCGCGGCCGTCGTTTTTGCGGGTCCAGGTCCGTCGGTCTCGGTCCCAGGCCGTTTTCACTAAGGGGAGGTTTACTAAAGGGAGGTTTGTCCACCGCCAAGTTTGGGCCAGAGAGATGTGCTTCTCCTGTGGGTGGCGCGAGAGTGTGAAGGTAACCGCATCCTGCATTCCGCGCAGCGCAACGCTCAAACTTGGACGACCCAAGCTGCGCGCAGGTCAACATCAACGAGACCATCAACGACCTCCAGATCCTCACTGCAGACCCGAAGACCGATGCC